CACAACAACAATTAAAGTTGCATCATCATTTTTATAAAACAACAGCAAATTAAATTAAAAATGTAAAAATATATTTTAACATTACATTTTAACATTTAACACAAAAACGTTACAATTTTTTCTTTAAATATATATTAATATTGAAATGCCAAGTATTTTTACGTCATTGGAATATTATATTACTAAATTTTCAAATTAAATTTATTATATTTTGAAAACATTTTAAGCATTGTTACAATATATAAATATAATTTCACCAGACCCCGCTAGAGGCGTTGCTTGCGAGTTAAAGTAGAAAATTTGCAAATAAAATTGCAAAGAATATTTATTTCAAATCAAATTCAAACCAGAAATCTTCCCAGTAGTATAGTAAATAACTTCCTAAAGTTTCACGGCGATTGGATAATCTTACCTTTTAAAAACATTCATCGTGTGAACAAACTAACATTCATCGTGTAAACAAACCACGTGTTAATTATTAACCAATCAAATTAATTTATCGTCGCGACCAGTGCTGCGCCCAAGCGGTAAAAGGCTGGAACTAACGCTTTTTGGTTTTTTATTTTTAAAAAAAGCACATTAACTTTTTTAGTTTTTTGAATAGCCTATATGTTAAACGAAATCTTCAGCTACCTACATGCGAAATTTCATAAAGATTTATTCTGTAGATTTTGCGCAACGCGATAACAAACATCGATTTTGGATTTCAGTTTTATAGATATAAGGAAGAAGGGGGGCCTTATATACCTTTTCTGAGAAAGGGAGCATTGCATTTCACCGGATGTGAAGAGGGTGGATCGTCTGGTGAAATTCTAAACTGGTGCCGTGGCATTTTCCATATTTAGACCTTGTTGTTTTGTGACTTACATTTATCTCGAATTTAGACGTTTTTGACTTCTATTCTCTTTAGCTCAACTCTTAATCTATTACAGAGTTTTATTTATTTATCCTCAATTTGTACAAATTACATTACATATGATGATGTAATGACACATGTCAATCATGCGTATAATCATTTATGTGTTTCTATTTTACAACATGAAAATCTTGTTATAAGTTATATACAATATGGGGTTGTTGGTTAAATTACCATATATACATATTACTTTCCTATGTATAAATTTATTATTATTTACCGTTGAGAGAGATAGACACCACTTTTATATTATATAATTTATATAAGATTATATAAGGTTAAATAGTTAAAAAAAAAGGAATATATATGGATATATATGACTATATATATATCAAAATAGGGATAAATATAGATAAATACATGTAAAAATTGATTTATATACATATATACAAATACAATTATATACAGTCTTCAATGGTGGGGCCCACCGCGGGAAAGACTCCGCCACCGATGGAATGCGAGAATTCATTCTTACAGAGTGGGCAGGTCGAGGTACAATCATATTTAGTAAATTAAATTTTATTGCCATCTATCGTTAAAATTTTACACAAATAAATTTACTGGCAATGCGTTTCTTTTAAATATAATCAAATATTATCTCTACAGACCTTAAAAGAAACGCATTGCCAGTAAAAATAAATTTATTTGTGTAAAATTTTAACAATCATATTTGCTCATTTATTCTTTTTCAATAAAGGATTTTTTAATTGTTGAGCAATCCCAGCCTCATCAAACAGAAATACTGGGTGTCAATTTATATTTTGGTTATTGTTTTATTATTAATGGTTGTTGTTAATTTATTATTGTCATTGTTGTGTTGTTTTATCATTTATTTCGACTGTTTACATTCAAAATGGTAATGCAATTTTTATACGAATATTTGTGCATTTTGAATATACGTAAGAGTATTTTATAATGAAAAAAGTATTATTAGAAATGTTTCAATAGATTATGGAAAAATCCAAAATTCATTCAAAGTCATCTATTTCTCCTCGGAAGCCTTTTTGCAAATTATTTATAGATGTAAAGTACATGAGCTCCTGGTCAGGATATGCCATTTTTATTTTTGATTTCAACACCTGATCTTTTTTTTTTCTTTCATTTTTTTCATGTGTTAAGCGTATTTACGCAAGATTGGCCTTAAATACCCATTTCTTGGTTTTTCAAGAAGCCTCTTGGACCAAAAAATATTTTTGGTCACAGTGGTACAGCCTAATCCACGCTGACGAGCGCCAAAAAGCGCGAAACGCGTTCATGGATGGCTTTTCTTGATTTATTAAGAAATTGGGTTGGCCAAATATCAGGGAACAGGCTAAATCAATGATCAGTTGATTTCTGTTCCACCAGATGGCGTTCTGCCTTTTGTAAAGCACATGTGCTCCTGGTCAGGATATGCCATTTTTATTTTTGATTTATTGATGTATTGCAGAGGATTTTACTTTTCCGAATTTGAGAAACAGTATAGATATTTAGGGGGTTAGTGCGTTGTACAAAAGATAGCATGTTGAGCGATGTCTGTCGACATGGTTGTTCAGTGATAAACTGAAGATCGTACTCGGCTCATCTGAGAAGATGCAAGACGGTGTTTGTGTCAATGATGTATAATTCAACGAAGTACACAAGGGTAAATCTAATTCAGACTCTTAAATTCATTTTATAATCTTTAAGAATTTAGTAATCTTGAGTTATATCCGCCAGCTGAATCCTTTTCAAAAATATTTTCATTGACAATTCAATTTTGGATGATAATGTTGAAAATCATTATAATATTACGTTTTTAAAATACCTTTAGTTTCAATTTGCGAAAGAACAATGCTCGAAGCATATTATGTAGTTATATTTATATGTATTTCTATACTGTCCTCAAAGTTTTGTCTCCATATTTCATTCAAAATAACCTTTTCCGAGAGTTTTGCTTCGGTAGTTTAAAGTCAGTATAAAAGAAAATAGCCCAATGCAATATTCCAGCGGTATGGTAGGTTAAACAGGCGAAACCGCTGGGTGGGATTACCACTGATGAGCCAAGCCCTTCTATCATTTTATCTTCACGGTAAGGGCTAAGGCAAATCGTTTTATTTAAAAAATGGTTTACATTTTTCATTCCTAATATATTTACACTTTTTGGAAAATACATGTTAAGCGTCACGTATTTGTATATATCGAAAAAAAATATTTTTCAAATTTTAAAAATTATACACTTGAAACTTTGTTAAAGTCTATCCATACTTACATACTGTATATAGGGTGAATTTCTTGAAACGCCGGGCAAATATAAGTAGAAAAAGTATTGAATTTGCTTAGAATTTTTTAAGAAAATGATTCCAAAAATATTAATTAAACATTACATTTATTGATTTACAAGAGAGAGAATAAAATATAAAAGAAAAACTTATATTGAACAAAGGAACCTTTTTTCTCTCTCTCTACGGTTAGCGCCTATTTACTTGTGATCTTACACACACTCTGTGGGAACAATTAATTGAATTATAAATACAACAAAGAGAGAAGTTAATCTAGCTGTATCTTTTCAAACAAACTTCCAATTGGCAAATTATGTTTTATGATGTCTTAGCGCGTTATCTGTTATGAAAATTCGAAACTATTATAGACGCGTATGATTATTTTAAAATAAAATATTTCTACTGCCCTTACTGCAATGTAAAAATTAGAGGGAGAACCTGGCTCATCACTGGTGAACCCTCCCAACGGTTTCGCTCGCTTAATCTACCATACCGCTGTTATATTGCATTTTCGATCTTCCTTTTATAGTGATACTGATGCTATTTTTTATAATTAGGTTTGTGTCAATATGAATTATTTTACAACGCCAAATATGTCAGCTTTATGAACGACCTCAAATATGCTACCTATGTTTTTATTAAATAACAATTTAGTGTTGGCCTTCCTTACCCTTTTGACAGAATTAGAACATAGGTGTGGTTATGCTTCAAGTTTTTGAACTTTCTCATGGTAGTTGAATGCTATTGTGTCATTTTGACATATTATTTAAAATAGTACATATTTGTGTAAATTTTGGAATAAAAATAATTTAAAGTTATTATAGTAACTTGCAATATTCTTGTAAACAATGAGGAATTCTGTTTTTCTGAATAAAATGTTCATGGTGTATCTCAATAATCACTTCTCTTCTAAACTATTAAACTTCTTTATTGAAGGTACAAAAAAAATGAACATACACATTACTAAATATATCTAATATTACTAATAAATTAACATCTCTCCAACCATATCTCCATTAACTCTCACCTATATACATTTATTTTTGACACCACAGATTTTAAAACACAGATTATTTAAATCATAGAATAAAAATAATATTTGACAATAAAATTCAACATAAAAAGACTTGTTGTTGTTTATTAATATAACCAGTAATATCTTTGATACTTGTACGAGTTGATTCGTCAATTCAAAACTTATTTTTTATTCAAATTTTAAGCTTCATATTATCGACGATATAAATTTATTTAAAATATCTATTTTAAAATTTTACAAATTTTATAATGTAACGTTTCACGATTTTACGTGTCATCCTTGCACAGGAGCCATGGAAATCTCTGTATCGTTCCTATTTTAGTATATGTACCGCCGAACAAACGTGTAATAAATAGCGTTGTAATGGATAAATTGAGTATTTTTTAGTTTTATTCTGGTCGAGAGATTTGATTCGTGACAAACCAAATTGTAAACCCGGTCCTGTTATCTGAGATAAATATTCCCTTTAAATGTGTGAAAGCCTTCAAACTTAAACAAGTTTTTAACAATGAACGCAATTCTTTCTAAGGTATTTCGTTTCATTAATGATTGCAATTTTAAAATTTATATAAGCTTTTAATGGTAGATAAAACACAAGTTTTAAAGCACAATACTCATTTAAATTCTAAAAACGTTCTTCCTTCATCCAGTAGAAGTATATTGTGCTCAAAAGATTGTGTGGTGGTGCTTATCTCCATTATTTAACCAAATCCTGAAGTCCACTCCTCTCGAATTCATCAATAAAATCACGTTTCACTCAACACCTCATTGTCTTCTTTTAAGAAATACCGGGTGATTATTAATTGCTACGGCCATACTACATTGAAAACACCGGTTCTCGTCCGATCACCGAAGTTAAGCAATGTCGGGCCCGGTCAGTACTTGGGAGGGTGACCACTTTGAAAACTGGGTGCTGTAGGCTATTACCTTTTTTCCCCATTCTAGTTAGCAGCCCCGTAAAATAAAGATATTTCGGTTATTTTTATTCATCTAAAATATTATAATATTTATACCTTTCAACTTGATATGTTAATCTGTGTTCCAGCCGAATCGAGTATGAATATAAAGTAGTTCGACGCTACAATTCTCCATCGGTAAGCAAATATTGTTAAGTACATATAGCACCTCTTTGCAAATATAAAGTGCACGTAATGATAAATTACAAAGAAACCTGCGACCAAAGAAAGAGCGAGAGAGGGAAAGAGAATCGAAACCGGCCATGATTGATACCAAAGGACAAAACTGAGGCCTCCCTGCAGGAAATCCAATTACACAGCGAAAACGAGGATCCCTTTGTTATCAGCTATCTTTGTAAGAAACTACCTCATTGCATAAATTGGTCAATGGACTTTTCTTAGAGAATTCGCCTATAAAAACTAGATTCGCCTTTAAAAATAAAAAATATTTTGGTCGCAGTGGCTACTTCAGAAACCAAGTAGGGGAACTGGGAAGAGACTGAATCAATGTTTAGTTGATTTCTCTTCCACCAGATGACGCTCTGCCAACTAAAAATCCCATGTGCTCCTGATCAGGATATGCCTTTTTTATTTTTCATATATATTTATATATTTAGTTAGTATTTAGCTACCGTCAACTCGCTACGACTTACAAGTTGAACTGAATGTTTATTCAATCTAGCAATCTTCTTATATACATGATAGAGATAAAAAGGAAATAATTTACATAAGTTTTTTTTTTAAAACAATTGACAAATGGAATAATTTTGCATAGTTAACAATAGGTAACAATTATAACACTTAACATAGGTTATTTACATATCACAACATGTTTCCCCTCTGCTACAACAATTAAAGAATGTGACGAATCTAGACAACCATCAACAATCAGATCAGGCAAATCAAAAGGCGGTTGACATGCCTCCCCTCTGCTTAAAAACCAAATCTTTGTGGTTTTCTTAACTCTCTTCCAAACCTTGAAAACTGGGGCCTTCCGGATGGTTCTGGTGCAATCCCAGCGGATGTAGTCGCGCCTTCCCTCTGGTCAATATTGGTCTCTTCACTTGACCGCTGTATTGGGGCTGTGGATGACTCGCCCATCGTTGGACTGTCGCACTGCGGATGTTGAGCTTCTGGGGAGTCGGTAATTGGTTCTGAAGACAACTGGCTTTTTTCGTAGCCTCCATCCCTTGGCCTAATAAATTGTTGATTTCTTATCAACCTATTTCCCGATGGTGTCACAACTTCAAAGCTCTGAGGAGAATCAGCCTGCGCTGAAATCTTCACCGGTGTCCATGTCTCCCTTGGATGTATTTGACACCATGCATCCTCTCCTACATTGACCTTGGGATAGCTTTTACTATTTCTGTCATACTGCTCTTTCATTGAGCTCTGTCTTTTTCTTTTGGCATTCTCTATACTTCTCCAATTAGTTTGATAGGGTCTATATAGCGGTGTAATTCTGGGGATCTGACATCGAAGGCTCCTTGATAAACATAGCTGTGTGGGTGACGGTAGGTCATTTTTTGGTGTATTCCTATATGCCAGAATAGCCAGATATGGGTCGGACCCTTCATCTCTACATTTGATTAGTTGATTTTTTATTGTTTGAATGTTTCTCTCGGCCAGACCATTAGATCTATGAAGGTGTGGACTTGAAAATAGCTGTTTTATACCCCATCTTATACAGAAGTCAGTCATAATCTCTGAGCGAAACGGTGGTCCATTGTCGGACATCATGGTTTCCGGAATCCCGAATCGTGCAAATGTTTCTCTCAATTTATTTTTTACATTAATCGCCGTGGGTGGGTCCAATGTAAATACCTCCGGGTAGCCACTATATCTGTCGACCACTAACAAATGGGGCTTTTTCTGAATATAAAATATGTCCAATGATACTGTCTGCCATGGATAATCTGGAACTGGGAAAGGTTTTAACGGCTGCTGTATTTTTGATTTCTGATGTTTATGACAAATTTCACAATTTTTTACTTTTTCAGCAATGTCGATGGACATTCTCGGCCAAAATAAAGATTCTCGCGCCAAACCCTGAATTGCAGATATCCCTTGGTGCGATTGGTGCAACAAATTAAGCATATTATTCCTTTGTGTCTTCGCGCGGAATCACTATGGCCGATCCTATACATAATAGATCATTCCATAAATACAAACGGTGTCTGAAATCGAAAAATACTTTGGCATCTTCATCGACGTCTTTTTTTGCATATAGGCCATCCCTCAATCACATAATCGATTACTTTAACCAAAGCAGGATCCTCTCGGATATCTTTCTGCATCGCTACCAGTTTTTCGTCCGAGATATTAACACGTACCATCTTGACCATTCTTTTGTCTTCAAGAAAAGGCGTTGGTAGTTCGTCCATGGGGTGAGTATCCCTGGATAGGGTATCAGCCACAATCAAGTATTTTCCTGGTTTGTACTGCAATTTGAAGTCAAATGCTATAAGCTTCATTACTAATCTTTGTAGACGCGGAGATATATCACTCAGCGGTTTTTTGACTAGAGGCAATAAAGGCTGGTGATCCGTCTGTACAACGAAAGTGTGTCCTGACAATAGATATTCGAACTTTTTGCATCCATAATAAACACTCAGTAACTCCTTCTCAATCTGAGAGTACTGTTTCTGCGAGTCGCTAAATGACGCGGATGCGAATGCTAGAGGTCGATCTTCCTGTAGCAGAGCAGCTCCCATTGCATCTTTGCTGGCATCACATTGCAAGATGAGCATCTTGCTTTTGTCAAAATGTGCCAAGGAAGGAGCATTCCTCACGCATTCCTTAATATGATCGAATTCCCCATCCTGTTTAGGCCCCCAAGGCCAGACAACATTCTTTCTTAATATTCCTCTTATATTGGATGTGGACGCAGCTAAATTTGGAATGAATTTTCCTAAGTAATTATAAAGACCCATGATTCTTTGCAGCGACTTTTTATCCTCTGGCCTTTTAAAGGTAATTAATTTATCAATCTTATTTGGCTCTGGATCAATTCCATTTTGTGATATCACATGGCCCAAGAAACGAACTTTCGTTAGACATATTTGAGCCTTCGTTAAATCAAATTTGATATTTTTTCTTTTGCTTTTTCTAGAATTCCCTTCAATTTTTTATTGTGCTCTTGAATGGTATCCGCATATATCAGCAAATCGTCTACATATGTAATATTTTGAAAGCTATCCCTAAAGATATTCGTCATTTTCTCAACAAAAATTTGTGCCGATATTTTCAAACCAAATGGCAATCGGTTATATCTGAATTTGCCAAATGGCGTGGTCATCACCAACAGATCTCTGCATTCCTTTGCAACCGGAATATGCCAATAGGCTGATTTCACGTCTAACACGGTTTAATACTTAGCTTTGGGTATCTCGTGCAATAGTTCAGTTGGAGCCGGAGTCTGGAAATGTCTTCCCACAAGGGCCTCATTTAATTTCCGAGGATCCAGGCATATTCTGATTTGACCAGATTTTTTTTTTACAACGACCATAGGATGAGACCACTCTGTTTCATGATATATTTTTGTTACGATTCCTTGCTTCACCATCTTTTCCAATTCAGACTGAACTTCGGCTCCGAGGCTTGTTGAAATGCGCCTGGGAGGGACTTGCACAGGAGAATATTCAGGCTTTGTGTAAATCTTACATTCCGAGTTGATTAATCCTACTCCTTGAAATACTTCGTGGTATTGTTCGAGGATTTTTTGAGTTTCAGAACACAATTTCATTTCATCCGTGTTTATATGATTAATTCGCCTCAATATTTCAAGATTCTCGCAAGTATCGCCCGTGATAAGTGTCTGCGCTTCTACACCGGCTACGATAAATTCAAACATTCCTTTCTTTTCACCATATTGGCATAGCACATTGCATTTGCCGACGATAGGCAATTCTGTATTTCCATATGCGAACGCCTTTAATGACGTGGGTCTGATTTCTGGTCTTGATGGCCATTGGTTTATTACTTTATGAGGAAGCACATTTATCTGTGCGCCAGTGTCCAAATGTACCGTGGTCTTCTTGCCATTAATTATTATTACCGCGGACCACTTGTCCGACCGAACAGTCTTTACAGAAACTTCATTTAGATTTATCTCGTCACAGGATTCTTCAGCTTCACTTTCCGCTAAGAGATTTCTTATACGTTTTGTTCGGCAAACTACTGAGAAATGATTGGTTTTTCCGCATGCATTACATTTCTTCCCATATGCTGGACACTTTCCATACTTGTGTCGTTGTCCACATCACTTACATGGTTCTATTATTCTTTCTCTTCTCGGGTTTATACCGCTTGGTCCTGCTTCTGCATTTTCCATTCGAATTGTATCTTTCACCCAATTACGTTTTTCAATTTTTTCAATCATTTTTTGCTCATTCAACGATGCTACTTGTGAACATGTTGACTCGGGGATCACAGCTATCGAAATTGCCCTTGGTAGTGTCAACTGTGGATCTTCTAACAATTTTCTTTTCACTTCTCGGTCAAGTATTCCAATTATAAGGCGATCCCTTATGAGAGATTCTGTTAAATTCTCGAAATCACATTCTTGTGCCAGATGCTTTAATTCTGTGACAAATTCCATGATTCCCTGCCTTTCCTTTTGTACACAGGTAAAAAATGCATTTCTCCTTTGAATCGTATTTTTGAAGGGCTTAAAATGGTTCGTAAGCATATCAAGCATTTCCTTTACATTTGGGTAGGTATCATTTTCACTTATGTGAAATGTTTTGTATATCATCACTGTTTTCTCACCAGCAATATGCTTCAAGATTGCTCGCTGACGCACCAGCGGCATGCTTTCTAAATTTACCGCTATTGCAAAAATTTCAAACGACTCTCTCCAGGTTTCCCATTTTTTCTCGTTGCTGTACGGGACAAATTCCGCCGGCGGCTTGATACCTTCCATTCTACTCAATGTTGAATTAATCTGTTTTAATTCGATACTTTT